TGACTTCCAGATCTGATTCCTCTAGACTGGTTTCTTTAATGATATGTGTATGGTATGAGGGAAATAAAATTTTAAATTCATATGAGGAAGCTGATGATTCCTCAATAATGATCTGATTTTTGAAGGTATTTATTGGCACATCAGCGGAAGGAATCAGGTCTTCCGATGAGTCCTCGGCACTGTGAACCGTGGGCGTTAGGGAGTTAACATCTGTCACTGGTGGTCTGGATAGCGCGTCCGCGACTACATTCGTACTACCTGGTTTATACATTAACTCGTAATTATATTCTTCTAACTGTGCCTTCCACTTCTTCATCTTCACATTTGTGTTCTTGTTGCTTAGCGCAAAGGTTGATGGTCGGTAAATATCTTTATACTTCTTGATCCATACAAGTAACAATTCAATTCCTTTAAAGCCCAAATTGCTCTTCTTTCCTATTGAGAGTTCTAGAAAGGTATGTGATAGGTCTATTGCCTTGAGATAAAACTGCTCCTAAAGCGTATTTCGAGGCGTCAGTAGTGAGTTCAAAGGGCTTACCAAAGTCGGGATACTTCAAAACGACTTCCTCCGACACCAAACAATTCTTGAGCTGTTTGAAACTTTCAATCTGTTCGGAATTTAAATTGACACTGATTTTTTTTGACTGGTTTCTCGGGGTTTTCCCTATATCGCCTCTCATCATGGAGGTTAATGGTTTGGCTATTTGAGCATAGCCGCTTATGAAACTCCGATAATGTCCAGTCAAACCTAGGAACGATCGCAAGTCATGAACTGTTCTTGGTTGAGGGAAATTAACTATGGCCTTAAGTCTGTCTGGGTTTGCGGAAAAACCTCCTGCCTTTACACTGAACCCTAAGAAGTTAATTTCTTCCTTTAAGAATTCACTCTTGTCCAAATGAACTTTCAGATTAGAGTCTTCCAAAGTGCGGAATATTATCCTCAAATTTTCAATGTGTTCCTTTTTAGTCCTACCAAATATCAAAATGTCATCTATGTAGACGAACACCGTTTCCCTATATGCTCTCTAAGAATATCATCTAGAGCTCTTTGGAATATTGCAGACGCGTTACGTAGTCCAAATGGTAGTCTAGTGAACTCGAACTTTCCATTCTGTGTCGGATTACCTAAGTGGAATCTGATGGAATCCGCTCTTTAAATCTATAGTGGAAAAGTATTTCTGCTCGCGTTCTGTAATTTCAGGTATTGGGTATCTGTCAGGTCTAGTTATCTCATTTAATTTCCTACAGTCAATAACCATGCGATACTTTTTCATACCTGAAGCATCTGGTTTCTTTGGCACTATCCAAACAGGAGCATTATATGCGGACCTAGAAGGGCGAATTATCCCGTCCCTTAATAGTTCTTCAATCTGTTTGTCAATTTCGGATTTCGGTTAGTGCCATTGGATATGGATAGGATTTTGAATAAACTGGACTATCACTACTCGTATTAATTTCAGCTTGTACGACAGTCGAGTAGGTTAGTTTATTATTGGGATTTGCAAAAAGGTTTGGATGTTCATCCAAAATATTCTTAATAACTCATCCTCAGGATTAACATGATTTAAACCTAGATTCATATTATTAATCTCATCAATTTGCAGTTGTTTCAAAGGAAATTTCTTTCCATCCAGAATTGTGAGATAGGATCTCCAAGTGTAAATCACTGCATTTAAAGATTTCAAGGTTTCATTCCCTATTATCCCATCAAGGGTCTCTAGACCAGGAAGGATGTAAAATTCTAACTTTCGGATTCCGCAATTAAAAACGTCAATAAAACTATGGGTCTCGATACTAACTATGCCGCCTACGGACTTAACATGAAAAGGTTTCTGGTTCTTTAAAGGGTTTCTAATAAATTTGCCATTAATATCATTTTTGTTCGAACCGGTGTCTATAAGAAATTTCAGTTCGTTGCCATTTTTCATTCTGAAAGGGAGGTATGGCAATGTTGAAGCTAGTCTAAAAAATTAACGTCATCTACAATTGCCAACTGATCGTCTAGATCCTTCTCGTACGCTTCGTCATAGGAAACCTCATATTCTTGTTTATCAGAACCATTCATTTCATCCGGCTCTGGATCCTCTCGTATTTGGGCCTCAACATTAAACATTCTCTGCTGCTTTTGCGGCTGATGAATATTTCCTGAATTATTTCTCTTAAAGTTAGGCTGACAATTGTTAAAAGCATTACTCATCTGTGGCCTATTCTGATAGTTTACCTGTCTGGTCTGTATGGATCGATCCACGTCCATAGGTTCAGCAGGTTTAGGAGGAAGTGGGGGTTTGTATCCTCCGTATTGGGGTTGTCCAAAATTAGTCACTACTGGAGGTCGATTCGAAAAGTTCGCTGGGCCTCCGTATTGTTGTTCTCCACTTCGGAAATTCTGATAACGATATTGATCTGTACCTTTGGTCACCTTGAAAATTCTTATCGACAGACTCTAAGGTCGAAATATCTCTCTTATCTGAAAAATGAAGAACTAAACACTTTCTTATGGCTTTCCACTTTAATGGGGTCCGATAAGACTCTAAAGCCGTATCGGCCTCACCAACAATTTTATGCCTAACAGTGTGTAGAATTGTGAAGTATTTGGTTGTTCCCCTCTGTGACTCATAAATGTTCATGATCCTATCAACAGCCTTTCTCCACGAATTAAATTCTCCTGGCTATTCTCTCTCCTTCTCTCTCCTTCTGAGATATCCCCAGATCCTTCTATGACGACATCCTTAATGGCGGTAACATCCTCCCCCTGTTTGAGAAGGTTTGCCACCGTCTCACTTATTATTCGCTTCATCTCATTGGTTTGCGTTTCCGTAAAGGGATTAAACCTTTCGGGAGCTGCCCAGAAGACGAAGATGTCTGTCCTGAAACACTCATAGCTTCGACCCTTGATATTAAGTTGTTTAAATCTTCCGGCATTGGCCGCTCGAAAATAGGAGAAAAAAAGAGACACCAAATCGTCACAAATCTAATATCAAAATAACTTATTTGAGCACGGATATGACTTTGTAAATTTAGATGCCACACTCTATTTTTTTGTTTTAACTAAATCTAACATTTCATATTTCTTACATTTGTTAATTTCTGTTAAACGCACAAATATGAGTTTTTTGTAAATTTAGATGTCACAGATTAATTTTGGTTTTACCTTACTCTAACATTTCTTTCTTCTTACTTTTGTTATTTTATTAAACGTTTTCTAGCACAAATATGATTTTTTGTAAATTAGATCTCACACTTTCACTTTCGGTGTTATTCCTTATTTTGTTTAATCTTCTTTAACATTTCTTCTTTTTTACTTTTGTTAAATTTATAGTAACTTACTAATAATAATTTGATCATTTTCCTTCTATCCCGGTAGTCCGCTAGTTCTTACGTAACAACGGTTTTCGTACCGGCTGTTGGGATGTGATTATCCTTGTAGTTCTTGGGTTCTAGGATGTGTTAATCCTTGTGGTTGTTGGGTCCTTGGATATGTTAGTCCTTGTAGTTGTTGGGTTCTCGAGTGTGTTAATCCTTGTGGTTGTTGGGTCCTTGGATGTGTTAATCCTTGTAGTTGTTGGGTTCTAGGATGTGTTAATCCTTGTGGTTGTTGGGCGCCAGTTAATGTTAGAAGTGATAGTTTTATTTAATCTCTAACCTTTATGTTGCGGTGCTATTTTCTCAATTCAAATGTCACATATATAAGTCCTGATTTATATTAAGCGAGTTTACTTGCGGCAATTTTTATCGTTCTCTTTTGAACTTGCTTCATGCGTCTATACAAGGCAATTCGGTTTCAAAAATAACTTTTTTCACATTTTGTGACAATGTTCTGGATTGGTATTTCAAATTACTGACACTACAAACAAAAGACACAAAACGAATTGCCAGAAAATTGTTGGTACGAGCAATTTTTTCCATTTCTATTCCCCTTGCCCCTCTCTCCAGCAAACAAAGCCATGCGCAAGTAAACTCTTCTAATCTAAATTGGGAGAATTTTTTGTTTAAGTTCCTCCACCTTTGTTTCTTGTTTTGTACGCTAAAGAAATGCATATTGCATTGTGTAGAAAACAAAATTTTCATCCTGCTGCATATATAAAAACTAGAAATCTTTTTTTAATTTTCATTCATCATTTTCATTTTTACTGAAAAAGTTTGAAAAATTTATAAATATTTTCATGATCAAAATTAATTTATTTTCGATAAATGCTCTCCATTGTTAGGGATGGGACAAATTTCTTGATTATTCAGAGAGTGATTCGAATTGAACAATGTGCAAAAGTCGGTGTTCGCTCAGAAAATTTTGTATGGGGAGCTAAGTAATTACTTCATAATTAAGGGTCGAACAACGAATAAGAGAGGGAACAACGCTCGAATGAACATGGCAATACAATCAAAAAATCGATTTTTCAGAAAATGAGTTTTAAGTTTTCAATTGACTACCACCATAGAAATACCCATATGTCGTTTATTGCTTACTTGAGCCACAGTACATTGTTTCATATTAAATAACTCTAAATTGAAGCATTGTTGCAGTCAGCTGATTATATTCTTTATCACCACAATAATTTAGCTGACAGCATTTATGAACGTATATTAGGTAGGGCAACAAAATCTGCTGTATACTATTAGTTTACATAATGCATTTTTTTAGTTTTAATTTATTCCGTGTACACTTACTTATATCGTGAATGTAGCCGAAGTATAAAGTTACAATATAATTAACTAATTATGTAGCAAATATATGCAATAATTTAATTATGCTGGTACTTCCGGTTATAGATTAAACATAATTATTAGTAAAAACAAATCCATTTTAACACATTTAAATCTTTATTATTATTATTGTGGTTACTATATAAAATAGAAATACAATTTATAATAATAAATTGCTTGACATTGAAATATTTCATTTATCCGTTTTTGTGACCCTCATTAATATACGCATAGATCGAATTCATGTTGACTTTCACAACAAAGAGCTTTAGTCATTCTCCATTAATATAAGACATAAGATGTCTGGCTCATTGGCTATTCTTCTTGGAGCATTATCTCTGTCAACTCTTCATAATAATAGCTATGGAGGCGATAACACTACATATTACAAATTTCCAAAATTTTGGACCAATTCTGGGCTTTGCCCTCTTGGCAATATTACCCATAGGAGTATAACCGATTACCTTCGTTCAGATACAATGCAAGGAAATCTCCTACATCTGTCTGCATTACCCCACGGTGCATTAACACATTTGAGAATACACTGGCTGTTAGAATTGTTGGAATTTCAACAATTCACACAATCTGGCCTTCCCATTTTTGACTTCAGCCTTTTGGATGAATTTCTAATAGATTTGGATATGATGAATATAAATCCCGTTGTGGAGTTTATGGGAAACTTTTCAAATCTGTTTGAAAAAAATCCCACCTATAACGACGTGATATGGGACGACTTAACCTACCAAGTAACAAAACGATATTTAAGTGAGTTCGATGTTAACTCATCGTATGGACAGACTAATAATTGCTTAAAAATTGCAAGAGCTAATAGTAGGATTTATAAATTGTGTTCATTATTTTAGATATGTTTGGAGCTAAAAAAGTGTTAAACTGGCGTTTTGAAACTTGGAATGAACCGGATGTTATATCGTACAACAAATTAAATTTCTCCCTAAAAGGTTAATATTGTTTGTATTGAATAATATTTTTATAGTTGTAAAAAAAAACATTTTCTATAGATTATGTTATCTACGCCAATTCCATAAAACAGGGCTTAATCAGAGCAGGAGCCAGACCAACAAATAGTCTGCATATTCCATTGAGGGGGCCTGCGGGTCTATTTAAAAAACGCTCTCATCATCCAATATGTTGGGGTATTTTAGAGCACTGTAATGCGAATATTGATGAGTGTCCAATTGATATACTGACCTTCCATCGAAAAGGAAGTAGTCCAAATGCAAGTGTTATCCTAGACGAATCCGTGCATTTACTATCTGATATTTACAAAGCGTTTCCCAATATACAACAATTGTTATTTTCAAATGAGTACGTACAGGCATATACTAATTAGTTAAATATTTAACGAAATGTTTTAATTCAATGTTAGTGAAGCAGATCCATTAGCTGGTTGGTCAATGCCTCGTGATTTCCAGGAAGATGTAAGATATGCTCTAACATTTGCGAATATTGTTTTGGATCACTGGAAAGCGAAATTGGACCGTAAAATATTTGCACATTTTGAGGACTTAAGCAACGACAATGCCTTCCTTAGTTATCATCCTTTCGAATTTTCCCAACGTACCCTTTTGGCTCATTTTCGCATGAATAACTCAGTACCACCCTATTCACAGTTTATACAAAAACCAATTTACGCAGCCATGGGAATGTTGTCACGATTAGCAGATATGGCAGCTAGTCCTATTGCAATCAAAACAAGTAATGGATTAACATTAAATGTTTTAAAAACTACCGCTAACAAAGGTCAACCCATGTATTCTAGTTGGCTTGTAGTTCCGGCAAACGAATCGGCATATGTTAACACCATGGTGACGACGAATTTCCATTTGTGTGGAAATGAAGTCAATGCATTTATTGTCGAAGTTATCGATCAACAATTAACGAATCCCGTCAGAATTTGGCGCCAATTTAACAGCCCTCCCTATCCCAATTCAACTGTGAGAGAAGTAATGCGTTTCCATCAAACCATGAAAATACATGATACAGGTATATCGACTACATCAGATATACTCCTTAAACTATCAAATCTATCATATCCTTGGCTAATGCTACTAAGGATGTGCTCAAATCTTAATGGCTTGCCTGACCAACCACAAAATTTACAAATAACTAGAGTAACGAAAAGCGAAGTTATTCTAACATGGCAGGAATCTACGAACAGCGTTTCGCAATATTGCCTGAAAACGTATCAAGTATGGTTTAGGGAGAATCAAAACAGTGAATGGTTAAAAATTTCCAATAATTGGCACTTACCATTTCCCTTTTTCCAGTATGCCCCGGTTCAAAATAGCCAGATTGTCAATGGTACGATTGTAAATATTAAAATACAAACTGAAAAGCTGTAAGTTTTATTTTTTATTTGCAGGCTTTTATAAAGTACGCAGTGTTGACGTTTTTAATCGGACTAGTTCCTTTTCCGCAGAAGTGCAATACATTGAAATATAAATTTAAAAATGAACAAGAATTAAATAAGTTATGTTTTACATAAATCAATATACATTTAATAATATTAAACTGTACACATAAACAAAATACTTCTGTCTATTCACTGTATTGTATATATATAAAATATTAGATATTCATAGATTAAATATAAATTAGCAAAAAAAAAAAATAAATAACAAAATATTGAAACAATTAAGAGTCCAATACAAGCCACTTTTCGTTCAGATGTTCCATTTGTTTGGTTAGGATTGGGTTGCGGACACGCAGCTTGACTTCCAGTTTACCACCTACAACCTTTCGTCCATCCATGAGCTGTTCATTATACAAGAGTAGATGGTATTACTTTTTTTTCAAGAAGATATTTTTATTTGTTATACTTACATCGAACGTATCGTGGATGTCACATTTTGTTTCCAGTTGTTGTAATTTTACTGTAACAGTTCCAATTAGAATGTCCGAACGTAGAAATCCTCTGAAACAACATAGGGGCAGTATACGACTTAGTCCACAACAGTTTATACTGCATCTAATGCATATATAATAAATATTTCGATATTTGTTTTTGAATGTTTTATATGGAGTTCACAACGGACGAATGTGCACAAAATATTTTTAAATTGATTGAAATCTGACTAATGCACTATATTCAAATTTAATTTTAATCGTTCTCGTAACAATCAATCGATATAACTTGGGTGAACGTTTAATGGGTGGATTATTTATTATATTGTTTTGAGAAGATTGAAAATTCTGGGCAAATCTGGCACACATGTAAATAAGGTCCTCGCGTATTTATTTATTTTTTTATTTATTTCTATCAAAAAAATGCCGATTTTAATTAAAATGGCAAACCATACTACTCCACATAATAATTAAATCTTAATGACTATATTTTATAACATATAACAGTTATAAGTTTTAATGGTTAGCAAATAAATGACTACTAAAGTACATTGGGTAATAGTTCTTTTATATTGTAGTGGATTTTGTTTGCATAGTTTCGTTTAAATTTTTATAAAGTAGGTTAACCCGCTAAAAAGTTCTGATGTACAAGCCATTTTATAATTACGTTCAACAAACCCTATAAAGGCGAGTAGGTGGGTATTTTAATACGCAAAGCATTGAATTAGGTTCGAGCCATAAACGATTACACATTAATCAAATATATAATTTGTAAGCGCAGAAAAAAACGGAATATGAACATTTTATACATATACATCTTCTATTTTATGGTGGCGGTATAAACACAGAAGTTTCTACTGTTGCCAGCAAATTATATTACTAAAAAATACTATTTTCCAATGCATGTGTTGCATCGTACACCTAAGCAAGCAAAACGATATCTAAAGAGATTAAATAGTAAAAAATGTAGAACATTTTGGATTCTTGAATGTTCTGAATACCGTACTGGTACCCACAAACCAATACAAAATTCAACCAAATGAGCACAAAGCAAATTGGCTTTTGACCTTCTATAGGCGTTGTAACATACCCTACATTCTATATGGCCTCTAACTGATTAAGGTGCTAGTAAAGCAATAGAATATAAAGACATTGAAACACAAATGATCCAAATTTCAAATTGCACTTACCCTCTGGAATACACTTCAAATTTTACAGCCTGTCTTTTAAATATTCTTTGAAATTGTCTATTTCCACGCATAATTTCTATTTTGAAATGTTGATTATATTCTGGACTATCCGTGTCTTTTACCAAGGGAGTTTTTGTTTTGTATGTTTCATCCTAGATACAAAAGTGCGGAAACAACATTATATCGGGATAACATCGGAAACAGCGAGTACTTACATTTAAAAGTGGAAACTCCACTTTAACATATGTATCTACGTCTTTTGGATTAGGAACGTTATAGTTGAGACCGCGCACTACCACAATTTCAAGTTCATTGTCCGTTAAGTCGGTATTGCAGTGAACAATATTAAAACTTCTTTTTTCATAGTGGAATTTCGGCAATGGAAACTTCTTTCTTTTCGAATAGCGTACCAAATCTAAATCTTTTTGAACTGTTAAAGCTAAATTTTCAAAGCGATTCATTCCAGCTATATCTCCCATCGCCTTGTGGTGGTCTCTTGTATTTTTACACATCATCAGTTGTTTGGCCAATTGTTCTTCAATCCGAATGCCTATATCCGATATATCATCATCGGGATCACATTCCTCGGTTGAAACAATTGCAAACGACGCCTCAAGATTGTCCCTTTGAGACGGTGGGACTGGCAGCTAAAGGTATAAAAGATATAAATCTGAAATTATATGCAATACTTGTTGTCTTACTGTGTTCAAATCTACTGGTAATCCGCTACTGGCAGCATTTAGCAGTGCATCAAATCCTTTGTATATTTTGAGGTACTCCTTTGCCTGTTCAATTTCCCCTGCTTTCTTTGCATCTAAAGCCGCCAACTTAAACTCTTTTTGGCGTTCCAGCAATATTTTCATTTGTTGCTCGGCTAAATTGTTTTTATGTTGATTTCCGGAAGTACGAGTCGTCAGGTCATTTTGTTGTGGCGACTTCTTTTTTTCGGGCACAGGAGGTGCAGCTTTCGGTGTCATAGTTCCACTGGAAGGCGTGGATTCTGTTGGTGTTGGAACGGAAGGAGTTGCTGCGGGTGCAGCATTTTCCACTGGTAATGGACCAAATCCTGGTGGAACTGGTAATTCGTCGTATGGTACAGGTCGTCCATTCTTATATGCCTTAATAGCATCCTCGTATTGCTTGACAATTCGTCCAAACCGTCGGGCTTTGCTGGAATTTCCCTCCGCCTTTGCAGCTTCTTCTACGGATTTATATTTTTCTAGTCTCTGTTGTAAAGCTTCTAACATGTTACCACTACTTGAGGGGGCTAATGGCTCTGCTGGTGCGGCTTCAGGGACAGATGATGGTTGAGGTTCAGGTGGCTGCTCTGCCGCAGTTTGCATTTTCTCTATGAATTCTTTAAACTGTTCTGGAGGAGGCGGCATGTCACTAAGGTCTACTTCTTGGCCATCTTCACACATTTTGATAACAACATCGAATTGTTTAACTACCTTAAGGAACTGCAAGGCAGTGCTTGTGTCCCCAGAACGTTTTGATTGAAGTGCGGCAATTTTATATTCTTGTTGGCGTTGTCGCATATTTTGGATTAAGGGATTTGTGGGCTTGATGGATTCTTCATTTGAAGCATCATCTGGAGTAGTGGTAACCGATTCAGGAACGGGTACTGGTGGAGGTGGGGCTTTTCGCACAGGAGCCACTGGAGCTACTTCTTCGGTTACAGTTGTATTTCTTTCCGTTTCTTGTGAACTATTTTCATTTTTAGGTTTTACACTTACCTCAGGTGGTATATCCTCAGACTTGATATCTTTACCTGCATTAGCTTGTTTCAATAGATCATTAAGTGTTTTTAAGCCTCGACCAAATCGTCGAGCTTTAGCGCCTTCACCTGAGGACTTGGCATTTGATTCAGCTATCTTGTACATTTCTATGCGTTGCTTTATTATGTCAACGGTACTCAAAGTCGTAGTTGGTAAAAATAACTGTGGCTCACTAGGTTGGGAAACATCACTTTCTTTTGTATGTTCAGCAGTGTCAAGTCCTTCACTTCCACCCTGCTCCGTTTCAACGGGTTCGGCGATTTCATGCAACTCTCCCAAAAGGTCCGAATCATTCTCTATATCATCGTCGTCATCATCACTACCAATATCCTTCAAGCTGTCTGCTATCATTTTATCCAGATCACTTGGAGCAACTAACGTAGCTTTTGGCTTCGGTTTAATCTTGGGTTTGCCCCCTCCGCCAGCTATAGCTGCCAGCTCTGCCTCTAAGTCACTGTCATTTTCGTTGTCATCGCCGCCATCGAATCCTAAACTGGGATCAAAATCGTCTGGTATGTCGGTCAGTCCAAACTATAATAGAAAAAACATGACTCATCCTTGTATTGTTCGTCATAATTATATTGGCACTTTTCAGGCTATATTTGATTCCAAATACCCCAAATACCTGAGATAAGTTGTGATTTCTTCTTTTCGGAGCCTCCGGCTTCTTTCGGGCGAACATTTTTTGGTTTTTAGGTATTAATATATATATATTTTATCATTTATTTCGAAATTGCAAGATGTTTTTTTAGGTATTAATAATTACAATGCCGTTTCTAAAGTTTTGACGGCGTTGCGGAATTGACGAAATAGCATTGAAACGTAACTGATAAAAGCCAGAATCAAAACAAAGGCTTAGTGTATCTAAGGTCGAAAATCGGACGAATCGGGGAATCAAAACAAATGAAGCGATTAGGCACAACAAAAGCAGCTCATCACCGACCGACTGCAGAAACCTTCAAAGAAAAACGTTCCAACTGTTACGAGTCGGTAAAAGTCGAAAATCGATTTTGATCAAAAATCGAAAAGTCGACTTTTACTCTCGTAATTCATTAGTCGTAATATATAAGGGAACCCCACCCATTCTCGATTTTAATTATTCAAGATTTTCAATGGGCTGGTAAATCAATACCAATGCTTGTTAAGGACTAAGCAGAATGCTCGCGTTGAGCCATCCGTTGCGTTATGTGTTATCGAAAATACAACAACCACAAGGAAACGATAACACAAACGCTCAAAGTTGATGTGGGCTGCGTTTCGGAGTTAAATATATTTTAACTTTTTGCGTGCGTTAACGCGATAACAAAAAACACTCTGTTTAGCACTTTAAGGTTTGTAACCATGGTATAATAATAAAAGGTAACAGCAAGTGTTGTTGTACAAAAAACGATACAACAACCAAATGGAAATTTGTTGAAAAATGTAAAAATGTAAATGTAAATTTGACAGAAAAATGTAAACAAACAAATTATCATCAAATTATTTTGATTTTGAAAATGGAATATTTTCGAATTCTCAAAATAAAAATTGAAAAACATGAATGAAAATCTATCAAATTTATATTTCTATCGCTTCCACATCTTTCCTTTAATTGAGTCATTGCCATATATATGTGTAACACATATGACAATGCTGGGAATAGCGAGTAATTCCTTCAAGAAAGATTTGCTTCCTCAAACTTTCCCAGCAGGCAGATTGAGTAAATTGAATATGGGAGCACATTAATAAAGAACAATTTCAAATTGTATGCGTTCCCAATTTTCCTGTTGGGTGATTTTTAAAAAACATAATTTGTCAAATTCATATTGACACTAGTATTACGTTGGAATCAAATCAGCTGGGATTTGCTGTTACCTTTTATAATTGTACCATGGTTTGTAACTTTGCACATATATATATTTGAAGATTCAAAAGAGAAGAAAAATAATTTACAAAAAAATTTTGTTATTGCTTTGTTGTTGTTTTTTGTAATTAAAGAAAAGCCTATATTTTTTATGGCGGGCATAATAACTCCTCACTGGAACATCGGAATCCGAAAATTCCAACGGTGTTAGAAAGAGTACATGTCTGGCTCTCGTATGAACTAGGATTATTGACTTCGCTCTAAAATTAACAAAATGGCGAACCTTTGAAGAAATATTTTTGGAAAATCGCCGATTTTTGACCAAAGACCAAGTTAAAAAATAAGGAAGATCTTCACCGATTGGCTTTATCCTAGTTCATACGCTAGCTATACACTCACAGAGAAACGTGTAAAAATTTGGAATCGATTGGATTATTAGTTTTTGAGTTATTGTGTCCGCCATTCGCAAAGGAGAAAAACGCGTTTAAAGTTTGAGAAGCCCTTTAGCCGTCACTTCATGCTGACACAATAAATCGGCTATATTTTCAAGAGTTCTTGAGATTTTCACTTGAAATTTTGTAGGGACATTCTTGAATTAGTGTAGAATCGAATTAAAAAGTTGACCCCGAGAATGGGGGGGGGGTCCCCTTAAATGGATGTCATTATTTACAAATCAAACAATGTCATTATTTACAAATCAAATGGTCCAGCTACACATCATAAACTTCCAACTTGTCCAAGTTCACGTATCATATGCCGAACAAATGATACGAATAGGGGAGTTAAAAGAGAATGGCCGATAAAGAACCTGTTCCAGACAAATTGGACAAATTATGCCTATTTACGAATTGAGAGCCAATAACACAATTATGAAAATCAGCTGATAAAATTTTGAAAGCAAGGGATACATAAATTTACCACTCTCGTAAAATATATTAAAGATAAAATAATATGTTGAAAATTTTAGCATAGCTTTTTGTCCGGATAACAACGGGGTGATCTTCATATTTCTGGAAATACGGAGGTTTCTTCTGTTCATATGTCCTATGACATGATTACAGAAGGTAGTCTCATTTGAGAATTTTATGTTGTTAACCCTTTTTAATTTGGAACTCATCTATCAATTTAAAATAAAATAAAAAACAAATTCTATAAAATTTTATGTATGTCGATTGACATCTTTTCAATAAATTAAACAAAATATATTTTCTAAAGCTGAACATTGCTCTCAAGATTTAACCATTGTTGTTACATCTTATATTTATAACTTTTAGAGGCAGGGAACTTCAAAATATTTATAAATACTTCCTGTATCAATACATTGCCCTCTATCTGGAACTTGCCTAAAAATATATATATAATTAGTTTCTAATTTAATGAAACTTTGCATTGCTCACGAATTCTCCTCCATTTTCAGTAATTTTTATACAACTTAACTTCAAATTGAACTTTGAAAATTAAAAAAATGGTTTGAATAATGTTTTTGTTTGTTCATAAAACAGCTGATCAGAAAATGCTGAGTTTGCAAAATCTTACTGAATAAAATTCTTTCAGTAAACTCCAGTAAGTTTGTTGTTGTTGAACTGTAAAAATTGCTCTCTCACTTGACTCTTTTTTACTGGATTTTTGCGTAAACAGACAACATTTAGTAACAATTGTTACCAAATATCGAGTAAACATTAACGGAATCGCTCAGTGCACATATCGACTAACTCCATTTTTTGAAAAATCTTAAATGTTAATGTCCTCTAACACTTTATGTAGTTAAAACTATTTATATTTTTAGCTTTCCCGAATAATAGAGATAAATGGTCTGTTCCCGTACTGCAAGAATCTACTAGATTTTACTATTTTCTTCGATATCATAAAGGAAAATTCGTTATCGTAGTAAAAAGTAGTAGATTCTTGTAGTACGGGAACAGACCATAAGACTGTTAGTTAGTATACACAATATTTAATTTGCGCCACAAACATTTCCTTGCAAATTGAAAAATGTTTAACTATTGAAATTGTCATGCAATGTTTTGATTGAAAATTATAAAATACGTGCTAAACACAATAAAATTGCGTTTAGATTTACAATATCTGCACGATCTCAATGGTCAATTCCAAGAGAGACCAGCTGGATATCAGCTGATTCTCAAGTTTGTTGTCAAAGTCTATTATTGTGACTTGACATCCATTATCAAATATTGGATTTGTGAACAGAATTAAGGTAACGTATACGCTATGGAATCGTCATTTGAAATCGAGTAGATTTAGTAGTCTAAACGTGCTCTAAGTCTATTAATAATTTGCATGCCCTTTCGATTATTTTATTTGAAAACTATGGAATGTAAAAACAAACATGTGAAAACAGTTCCAGGTTTAGTTCATTGTGAGAATGTATTGTCACACATTTTGTACATTACTTTGGCATAACAAGCCACAGTATGAAAATTTTGTAATTTATAAGTTGGTATGGCCTACCTTGAATAATTGTACCATGGTTGATTCTATGACAAAAAAAATTCTGTGTATATTGTTACGTTCTTGGATTTTACTTAATCCCGTGCAGACGTTGTTTTATTTCCCGATACAGTTCGTACCAAATAAAACGCGGGTTCTTTCGGATTACGATTATTACAATGATTTTATTCACACAACTTTACTTTACTCGACGGTTTCAATTCGCGATCTGATTCACAACTGACTAACTGCCTTTCCATTTCCCCTATTTATATGAGCCTTGCTTGTCGCTACAGAAGTTTCTAGACGATCTGGTAACACCTAGATCACGAACAATCTACCAATGCAACACACATACAAACTTACATTGAGTGAACAATAGCAACAACACATACAAACTTTCATTGAGTAAACAATAACAACAACACATACAAACTTACATTGAGTAAACAATAACAACAACACATATACAGGCGAGGGGGTAACAAAGAAAGAGGAATTAAGCGATCATCAATGATGACGTTTAACAAGAATTGTACGACAATAACAAAATAGAAAATAAAAGAGGAAATGGAAGGATGTAGAAAAATCTATACAGTAGTTGTTGTTGTGAAGTTATTCGAATAAACTGCGTAGTAGAAATTTACGTTACAATTCAAATTCTTAAATTAACGGAATTCATCTAAATTAATCTTAAATCTAAAGTTATTTTCGTAACATTGCCCCCCGCTTAAGCCTGTTCGTCCCGAATAGGCACAGTTCCCGTTCCGTAGGGGGCCAGCCGCTCCAAATGTACAACTTTCATCTTCGACCTGGGACTGTCGCTCCTCTGGATGCGATAAACGACGTCATTTATTTTCGTGACAATCTTGTAGGGTCCTTCCCAGTGCGTTTGCAATTTGGGGCATAGTCCTTTTTTTCGTTGTGGATTGAACAATAGTACCAGTTGCCCTTCTTGAAACCCATCGGTATTTGCCGCTCGATCGTACCTTGCCTTTATGCGGTTGCTAACCATTTTTATTCGATGGCGAACTGCATCGTGGATTTTACTAAAAGAGTTCTGACTGTCTTCTTCTTGGTTCACATCGTCGTTTGGGGTAGCACCGAATATCAAATCCCCAGGTAGCTTTAATTCATTTCCGAACAGAACTTTGGCTGTGGTCCGGGATGTGGAATCATGAATGGCCGATCTATAAGCCAGTAAAAACTTTGGAATATGCTCATCCCAGTCTCGTTGGCCACTGTCCACCACTTTCCGTAGATGTTCTTCCAGGGTACGATTGAATCTTTCCACCATGCCATCTGATTGTGGATGTAGAGGCGTCGTTCTGGTTTTCTTGATTCCGTAGGAGTCACACATTTCCTTGAAGATCGCTGATTCAAAGTTCCTA